GGGCTTGAACCACCAGCCTTCTGGTTAGCAGGCAAGTGCCTTAGGCACTTCGCTACCAGAGCTCCCATATATATTCAAATACAACCTCCTCACCCTTTCAGACTTTTATATACCAGCACAAAATATTACCTCCTTATAAGCTGACAGGGAAGAATTTTTAACAAATTCAACAGTATGGAGAACAAAGAATGTTTTTAGTTCAACAATGTGGTCTAATAAGCCTTGGTATAGCTGGTTTACCCATCAAGGTTTATTTTTGTTTTTGTTTTTGTTTTTGTTTTTTCTTAGTTGCTATGAAATAAAAATAGAACAGCTTGAAACTTCTATTTTTCACTGTTTTTTTATTCATCAAGGTCAGGAAGTGCTCTCATGTATATTCAGGTTTGTTTAGTAATTTTCCGTATTGTTTTTATTATGTGGTTTTTCAACAAAGAAATTAGTTCTACAGCCACAGTAGTTCTTCTCATTAAGCAGATGAGTCTTTAGTTTGCAAATGTCCACTTTTGAAATTTTCTCTTTTGCACCATCTCTGCCAGGAAATCCTGATAACAGCAGTACATACTTAGAACATACGTGGGGAACAAGTTTACTTTAACTCTATCCTGCCTTACATTACAATGTACAGGAAACATCTCTGGCCCTGAAATGTAAACAGGTGGCAATGAAAGATGAATAAATGCTTAGCTTCATTTAGAACAGTATTTTTAGAATGTAAAAGTTATTATTTTTTAAATTTATTTCTGCTCTGGTATTTGTTAATTTCTTTATTCTGGTAGTTTTATCCTTAATTTGTTCTTCTTTTTCTAGTTTCTCAAGTGGTAGAGTTAAACTATTGATTTGAGATCTTTTTTTAAAAAAATTATTTGGGTACACATTTTTTAAAAAGAAAAGTTCTAAATTCCTCGAATAAAATTTTTATTTCTATGTGACTGCCAAGAACGTGAAATTATCTTGTAGTCACATGGCCAGCTGTGGCATTGTGAGTTCTTATTTTTGTTTCAAAGTCAGTTTTAGAGTTGGTGGCATATCTCTGTACTCAAAAGTGCCATGACCAATGAAGCTTATGTTAATACTCAGATGTTTCACCAGAGATAGAGTCCTGTTTTCATGTATTTTATTTTATGCACACCTGGAGTTCTGTTTCCATTTTAGACTCAGGTGATGTTGAAAGTACCTGGAATATGAAGTGTGGGTTTGAAATGATCCACCAGAACATCCCTCTGTCCCTATATCATCACTGCTGTTTGAGATCATGGGATCAGTGCTGGAAGTGCAATTAACTATTAACTTGTAAAGGCTATAATTTAGTAAGAGTCATCAGTTTTTCAAATGATTAGAAAAAATAGCTTTATCAGCTTGGAATTAAATTAAAAATTTTGGTTGAAAATAGTTAATTCTTCGAAACTATGCTTTCAAAAAAGTTTGAATACGTTTTGTAATGTTTATTAGTTCACTTATCCATTTGGAGACATTTTGGGTGAACAAAAAGATCCAGATACAAGAAGAGGGTCCAACTCTTGAAGAATTTGTTGGTATTGAAGCAGAGAAGTCAGTAGTTCAAAGAAATTAGAACTTAGTATTACTATTTAAATTTAAAAGCTATTTGGTGTGGTTATAAAAAGGGGAAAACAGTACCCATATGTTCAGTGGGAAAGTTCAGGGAAGTTTTGTAGAATAGGAACAAGAAAACAAGGAGAATCCTAAAGCAAAGAGGTAGGTATAGGGAACAAGCAGTATTTTCAGATGTAGTAAGAGATCTCAGTCCTGCTGCTCAGCCCCTATGTAGAAAATTAATATAGATATGTAGACAGTGGATTTTAGATTGGGTATATTGAGTAATTGGGTATATTAAAAACAACACCTTCCTTAGTTGAATAATATCTGCCGTATGCCAAAGAAACAAGTTATGTTTTAGAAATTTTGTTGTTGTTGTTGTTATGTGTCATGGAGTTGGCCCCGACTCATAGCTACCTCTCCTTGGGCTTCCGAGGCACTATCACTATGGAAGTAGATTGCCCAACCTTCCTTCTGAGGAGTGGCTGGTAGGTTTGAACCACCAGCCTTCTGGTTAGCAGTCAAGTGCCTTAGGCACTACACTACCAGAGGTGGTATGATATGTGAATCACAGTCTCTGTTAATTTTGAGATTTTGGACAGATCATTTAACGTAGTTGTCTTATCTTTAGAATAAAAATGAAACCACCTATCCTATGGGACTGTTAAGCTCTAAATGAAGTTGTGTGTGTAAAACTGGAATAATTGTTCATTATTCTTACTGCTGGGTCCCTGGGTGGCATTTGACTACTGAACAAAAGGTTAGTGGTTTAGACTACCCCAGATGTGTCTTGGAAGAAAGGCCAGCAGTTGGAATCCACTTGATGGCTGTGGTTTTTGTCTATTCTTATTTCGTTTATTCTTGCTACTCTTAATTAGATTAAGCAGAATGGTCCTATGGGTTGGGCATTGTGAATTAAGTCTTCTTAGGATTTAGTAGTATTTTAAGTTAGTGAGTATGTGCATTCAGTAGTCAAAGGATCAATGAAGCTTTTTTAAAGTTGTGGTTTACAATGGAATACTATGCAATACTAAAGAATAATGTAGAATCTGTAAAACATGCATAACGTGGGTGAACTTGGAGGACATTATTCTAACTGAAATAAGTCAGTCACAGAAGGACAAATACTGTATTATGTACTAGTTCATTATTGTAAAAAGTTAAGGAAAAGTTTATATATGGAAGGAAACTTTCTTTGTTGGTTACCAGAGGTGATAGGGGAGAGGAGGGGACAGTGCAAAAAAAAAATGCATTGACTCATGTCATTTTAGTTTTGTGTGTTTCACTGTACATAAATTATATTTCAATAAAATATATTTAAGAAAAAAAAGGACGTCATCCAGG